ACCCTGACAGTCTGGCATTCTGGGGAAACCCCTTAGTCCCAGGCAAACCAGGACAGTTTATCACCTTCGCTCCAGGGAAGTGGCACCAAGGATAATATTAGTGAGGTAGTGGTTTTGAATAAAGGAAATGCAGTCTGCTTTACTCTGCAACATTAGTGATGAGAATAAGGTAAGTCCTTATATCACAATAACACAGTTGCTCACAAAGGGACTCAGTAAGTATCTCTAAACAAGAGTTTCATAATCTATTTGCTAATTCTGCTTCAGAATTTAGGAGTTCATACCCACCCCCTCCCAAAAATGAATGAATGAATTCAATCACCCAAGAAATATTTATTAAATACCTACCATGATATTCAATACCTATGAGGCCCTAGGACAGTGATGGCGAACCTATGACACGCGTGTCAGAGGTGACACACGAACTCATTTTTTTGGTTGATTTTTCTTGGTTAAATGGCATTTAAATATATAAAATAAATATCAAAAATATAAGTCTTTGTTTTACTATGGTTAAAAATATCAAAAAATTTCTATATGTGACACGGCACCGGAGTTAAGTTAGGGTTTTTCAAAATGCTGACACGCCGAGCTCAAAAGGTTCCCCATCACTGGCCTAGGATGAACTATTAATCTAAGAGTTTCATTCCCAATTTCAGGCTAGGAGTAGAAAGAGACATTAACCAAATAATGACAAAATGTCCACTAAGAGAAGTGCTATCAGTAAGGGGCAAATGAACTCTAAGTGCATAAAATAGGGAAGCAGACTCCCTCTACATGAAGGGGATCAGGAAGGACCTTCCAAGAAATCTTGAACTGAGCTCTGGAGGGTGGGTAGGAGTTACAGGAGTGGGGATGGGCTGGAGGTGGCAGCCTTCTAGGCAGAGCGAGCAGGGCTGGGAAATGTCTCCGGAAGGAGAAAATCCTTCATGTTTGAGGAACTGGAAGATGCTGTAAGACCTGTGGTTAAGGTTGGGTCTGATCGATAGTGAGATAGCAAATAAAATTCTGAAGGTGGAAAACAATGGGATTAAATTTGGTATTAAAATTTTTGGATTAAATTTTTAAATGTCAAAGCAAGATTTGTTCTTTAGAGAAATATCTAAAACACAGTAAAGGATGAAGAGGAAAGTCACTCACAGCCATACTCCCAAACACAAGCCATTCTGAACACTATGGTGGTTTTTATTCCCAGTGATGGTCTATGCACAGGTTTAATAAAGACATTGAAACCACACTGTACACTATTTTTCATGGTGCTGCATTTTTCTTACTATTAAGTTATAAACATCAACCCATACTGTTATGTACTCTACCTATCCTTTTGTTAAAAAAATATATATTTGATTGACTTTTTACAGAGAGGAAGGGAGAGGGATAGAGAGTTAGAAACATCAATGAGAGAGAAACATCGACCAGCTGCCTCCTGCACACCCCTTACTGGGGATATGCCCACAGCCAAGGCACATGCCCTTGACCAGAATCGAACCTGGGACCTTTCAATCTGTAGGGCGATGCTCTATCCACTGAGCCAAACCGGTTAGAGCTCTAACTATCCTTTTTATTAGCTGCATAATACTTCACCCTGTTTAATCCGTCCAGCAGGTTCCACCCTGGATCTCAGTCCACATGGAAGAAGATCCCTGAAAGGGTATGCAATCTTCTGACATCGCACAGAGCTCGGCAACACCTAAACAAGGTTAGGGCTTCTAGCAAAACTACATCTTTGCTGACAGAATAAGATGGGCCCTGGGACTTAAGAGTTTAGCATGGGAGGCAGACATGGATCAAGCAATCACAGAAATAAATGTAAAATTCTGTGACACTGACCAAGGAGGTACACAGTGTCCCGGGAGTGTAAGATAGGGGGTACTTGACTTGGTTGGGAGTCAGGTGGGCTCCCTGCAGTAGAGACAGTGGAACACCCACTGAGCAATGAGCACAGTGTGCGTCAAGAGGAGGTCCTGCAGCAGGAGGGAGCAGGGGCCTTTCAAAGGACTAAGAGAAGACAGTGTAACTGGCCCCAAGCACATTTCCTCCCACCGGAATTCCATTCCCACACACAGGAATTCTGGTCCAGGGGAGAATCCAGAGAAGTGTGTGTGGTTTGTGTAAGGCCACAGCATGGAAGAAAAGTTTTCCTGAAAACTGTTGAACAAACTCAAAAAGAGTCTGGGGGACTCTTCCCCCTCCCTACATGGGAGTCAGTTCTGGGACTCTTTTCCCTTTCCCCACGTGGGAGTCTGTACTTGTTCTTCAATAAATTTCCACCTTTGCTATTAAAAAAAAAAAGAGTCTGGAGGTTTTGCTAGAAGTAAATGATAGATTTATTCAAAGGTCCTAGAGTTTGCAAATTGGGAACAGAAAGAAAGAAAGAAAGAAAGAAAGAGAGAGAGAGAGAAAGAAAGGAAGGAAGGAAGAAAGAAAAGACAGAAGAAAGTAAGGGAAAAAAAAGAAGTTACACTGAGAAGATAGTAACAAGTTTGCAAATTGTAACTTCTTCATATATGTGAACCCCACATATACAGCGTATATGGGATTCATAGACCTCTTAAATGCAAAACTATACATCTTATCATTGATCTATATTACATTATGAATAATGCAATTGCTGCATTTGTTTTGTTATAGGAAGATTTTATCTCTGACGTAAATTATACCCTTGAAAGACCAAGCTACCCTCTGAAGAACTACCCAGTGCATGCGCAGAGATATTTTTAAGCTGATGTCTATGTAAGTAAGCAGTTTAAGTGCTGCTTATTATGGTTTTCTAAAATAATCTTAGTTTCCAGCAGTCAAAATGAGGTAACTAGAAAACATTGTGGACAGGAGATGAGGGAGAGTCCTAAGAACCACATTCTCCCTTCACACAGTATAATAATGACAGAACATATGTGGGTCTACCAGCGCTCTCTCTCTCTCTCTCTCTCTCTCTCTCTCTCTCTCTCTTCCCCCCTCTTTCAACTCCTTGAACACAAGCTTTTTCTGCTGTGAGGCCTTTGCACATGCTTTTCTCTCTGTCTGGAATACTTCTCTCCTCCCCCACCCCCCACTTTTTTTTGAATACTTCTTCCCTATCCTGCTTGGGTCACTTGTATTTATCCTTCGAGTCTCACGGTGTTCCATGACACTCCCTCCCCCTCTGAGGCATACCTTCTTTAGTGCCCTGGACTGTCATAAAGTGTGACACAATTTGTTGTTCTATGCTTATATGGGTTGATTGCTTAAAAGTCTGCCTCTTCTACTTAAGTGAAACCTGTCCCTCCTGCTCCCTGTTTCATAGCTGGCATGTAGTGCATGACAATGGGATCTCATTTAACTCGGCCACACATTCCAGGCTTGTGGCCTCAACAAGACTCCCACTCCCACTCCCTACCTGCCACTGTCTTTGTTTCAGATGACTCCACACTGTGGTTGGTGCTCAGTAAATATTTTTTGAGTGAAGGTTTAATGAGGGAATGAGGTAGCTCTAGAATTCAGGTAAGTGGCAAGTAGTTGGCTATAGAGTGGGGTATTGTCATTTTTCAGGTATTCTCTTCTTTTCCATTTCTAGCCCAGGACCCAGATAACACTAGGTCTTCATTAACAAGCCCTCCCTGAGTGCCAGGAACTGGCCTCAATACTTCACATCTATTAAATGAGTTAACATTTAATCCTCACAATCCTGTGAAGTAGTTATTATCACTACTTCCATTTTACAGATAGGGAAACTGAGGCCCAGAGCACTCAGGTGCCTTGCTCAAGGTGACATGGCTAGTGGATGGCACAACTGGAATGTGAACCTGGGTATGAGTCTGGCTTCAGCGCCCACGCTGTGAACCATTGCCTTCTAGTGCTTCTCCAAACCTCGAGTGTGTGATAGGAGAACCTGGGGGGAGAGACAGAGAGAGCCCTTTGGAACCCCCGGAGAGCTTGTCTCCCACAAGGATCCTATGGTGCTGTATTATGAAGTCCCTCATTCTAGCCACTTCAAAATAATTATGAGTCTTTTTAAATAATAAAGGAGTGTAGGATGACATGTTTTTACTTAGTTAGGGTCAGGCTCCCAGGGTTGGCCAGGACTCCCCGCCTTCAGCGCAGAGGAACGTGGAGGACAGCTCAGTAGTTGCCTTGTCTGCAGGCTTCCACCTTAGGACGTTCTGCTTGGTAGATTAAAGGATGGAGTCTGGGCCACTTAATGTCCCGTAGTCAAAACAGCCATCTAGGCATTTATTAGGTGGTTATTCGGAACATAACCCACATAATTATCACTTAGGGAACACGGTCACATAATTACCAAATACCAGATGGGTCGAATTTCAACATAGGTGGTGGCATTGAGTTACAGAGAGTCCTGGAACAGCGGATATGTGCACACTGATGTGAGGGGATAGAGCGAAGGTGAGAAAAGAATTAGTAAATTCTGCCTTACAAAATGGGTTTCCAAGGTAACATGAGATCCATGCCAATGGCCTCTACCCCCGCTTGCTGGGTCATGGATGGGTCATGGATTCCTGGTGAGGCAGGGGGCCTGGAGGGCTGTGTTAGCGAAGGTTTTCATGCTTGTAAAAAACCCAGGTGACTTTGACTGTCTTGAGCAAATAGAGCATTTATTAGAAAGATGCTGAGTATCACAGTGAATCCCGAGAAGACCCAAATAAGTAGGGCCAAGCAGCTGACGCTGGGCAGCCGCAGTCACGCCAGGAGTTGGGAATACAGTCCCGGAGAGGAGCACTCGGCAGAAGACCCGGTGGGTTTCCAGGGCACGCCTCCTTCCCTGCTGCTCTTTTACAGACAGTGCTGCACGAACATGCTACACGTCCTAATAGCCGATCCCTCCCACCCCAGAGTAAGCCTCTCGGTTCTCATCTCTGGAGTGGAATGTTTTGTCAGATATCGCAGAAATGATACTGTTAATAGAGAAGGTGCTGTCAGTATTCAGCTAACACACTGACTCAAGATACTAATATGCTTGATCACTGACCGCCCCAAATTCTGCTTTGAACCTCCCCCCGCCCCCGCCCCACTGAGGGCGCTCACATTCCACTTCCTGGCACCAGTCACTGAGGGTTTGGAGGGCAGCACCAGTTCTTGTCCCTCTCCCACCTTCTCCACTTCTGCTGTTTCTCTGGTGATCAGCCTGCCCTCTCCTGGTTTCCTAGTGATCTCAAGATTCGGGGGGAATTGAAAAAGTTGAGTCTTGCCACAGAAAGGCCAGGGATTCTCGAGCCAACAAATAATGAGTCCAATTGTCTGCCACGGAATGGGTAGAAGAAAGGAGTCAAAGGGGTTGGAATATACTATATCTATATATATCTTTGATTTTTTACAGAGAGGAAGGGAGAGGGATAGAGAGTTAGAAACATCGATGAGAGAGAAACACCGATCAGCTGCCTCCTGCACATTCCCTACTGGGCATGTGCCCACAACCAAGGTACATACTCCTGACTGGAATTGAACCTGGGACCCTTGAGTCCACAGGCTGACGCTCTAGCCACTGAGCCAAACCGGTTAAGGCTATACTTCCTCTTATTCTGGATGGTTTGGGATTTGATATTTTTGGTATAAAGTAGATGATCTTTTGTATATTTTTAAGTGGAAATGGTGAACTTTGTGTTATGTGAATTTTATCACAAAAAATTTCCATAAGTGCGCGTGCACACACACATACCCACCCTTCCTAGCTCTCTTAGAAGCTTGATCGCCTCTGTGTCCTTGTTCTTCCCAAGTGTGTGAGCTGATCTCCCATGTCCAGTGTGCGCTCACTGAGATGCCACTCGGAAGGATGGGCTTGTGAGGCCCTCTTGTGCGAAACCTCTGGGTCCCTCAGGAGGAGCCAGGGCCTCTGCCACTTGCTCCTCCGCACGCCTCCACTTGTACTTGTTTCCCTCAGCCTTGTGCTGTAATTGGGTTTCCTTATGGACACTCCCCTAAGAAGGGGACAGAGGACGGGAGGGCAAGTCTCTAGGAAGGGAGGGGAGACTGACCACAGGGCACCACTTCTGGCCCCAGGAGTGTTCCACACCTGTGAGCAGTGTCCTGTGATCCATTTCCACCACCACAGCTGGCCTTCAGGGGGAGCTAGTCCACCTGTAATGCTCCCACCCCGATGGTGAGCCAGGAAACCAGGCCCAGACAAGAATGATAGAATAAACTTTTCTAGAATTAAAGAATAGCCAAAAGGAGATAAACCAAGAAAAGAAAAAATAAATAAATGACAACAATGAACTGAAGCACAGGTTTCTGATTCTGTCACCTTCAGCTCCTAAGATAGTGGCCAGTATGGCTTCCACCCTTACCTGTCTGCTGGCAGGCAGGAGCTGTTTCACTTCCACCCACAGGGCCCCCTTCGCCTCCAATACAACCAAAGCAAAAAGCAAACCAGACTACGGATTCTAAACTCTGACCTGAGGGACCTGCCTCTTGGATTTGGTCAGCAAATTTCTGCGGGATTTGTCATTTGGTGGCTTGTGGGGATTGGCTCAATAGGTAATGATGCACCTCCCTCCATCCCAGGAGCTCCTGGTCCCGTCAGAGTCCAAGAGACCCCACAGGCTTGGCTGTGTCCCCGAATCACCAGGCAGACTCCCGAGTCAGCAGTCTTCCATAAATGGCAGGATCACAGGGAAGTGGGAGGGGTGCCCAGGCCCCACTTCAGACCAATTCAATTGGAATCTCTGCGGTAGTGCCCAGTATTTTTATAAAGGTCCTTTGGGGGATTCTGATGCACATTTAGGATTGAGAATCTCTGCAGTAGGCTGCCAGTGCATGACGATGAGGGACTTGGAACACCCCCCAATCCCATACTGACCCCACTCCACGTTCAAAACTAATTGTTTCATAGAATAGAATTGATTGGGGGCATGGTTAACAGTTTAGCTCAGTGAAACCTGACAGTTTCTGCTCATTTACAATGTGCCAAGGGCTAGCCTAACATCTCACAACGACACTCTCCAGAGGTGGCTCCTCTGCTGATCATCATACTCATATTATTCAAAGAGGTCAGATCACTTGCCCGAGACCACACAGCTGTCTTGTCAGGCTCACAAATATTGCCTCACACCGCACTGTGAGTGTAGAAGGGGCTCAGACACCAAGTGATCCCTAGAGAGAGAGAGAGAGGCCTAGATTAGGGTAGAGTGAGATCATCTCCTTGGTCCTGTTGACTGTTGGCTCTTTTTCTCAGTCCCACCTGAAGAGGAAGCTGAAAGAACGCTGGAGGAGCATCATGAAGAACTCCCTCATCCAGACAACTGGCACGTCCTTAGGGAAACGAACAACAATTTTTTGTTATGTGAATGGAGTCGCTGCTCTCTAATCCCCTTTAAATCAAACCCTGTACTCAATCTTTTGTGCCCAGGTAAGAGTCGTTGATTAAAGTCTTCGTCGTTTGGGGCTCAGATTTTCTTGTCAAGCTGGAACATTTGTGTTTTATTTGGTTTGTTTTGAGTTTGAAATAGAAAAATAGCAATAGTTGAGTGGTAGGTGCTTGGAAAGTACTTCTTAGATTTCTACTGAAAATGTCAAGATGCCTTTTCAATGTTCCTCATTTGGGCAGTGGAGTGTCCTTGAAAAGTACTCTCTCTCTCTCTCTCTCTCTCTCTCTTTCTCTCTCTCACTCTCTCTCTCCTCCCTTTCCCTCCCTTCTTTCCTCCCTTCCCCCCCACCCCCTTTCTTTCCAAATCAACTTACACTTCGCATGAGCTAGAGCAAGCTGCTATTTAGAGGAATAACCCAATCAATCTTCTAGGAAAAGGTTTTCTCTTTTTGGTAAATGTGCTTTTTGTGTTGTTCATTTGTTTTTTAGTGTTAGGCTTGATGTACCTGAAGTTCACTGAACACCTAGGAAGAGGGAGGATTGTATCTGGACAATTCAGATCTTGCTTTAAAGGTTTAATTTCTATGATACATTTGCAGGAGGAGGCTAATTTCTTTGGACCATCATTTAAACATTTTTTTCTGTCACTACCCCTCCTTTTGTTCAGCAATTCTGAATAAATTCACGAGAAACAACAGCTTCCTCAAATAGATCTACTTGAAGTCAATAGGCTCTGTAAACATGATTGCCAAAACTGAGTTTAAAATCGGTTAGAGCCCTAGCTTGTTTGGCTCAGTGGACTGAGGAGTCCCAGGTTCTATTCCGGTCAAGGGCACATGCCAGGGTTGCGGGCTCAATCCCAGTTGGGGGTGTGCAGGAGGCAGCCGATCAACGATTCTCTCTCATCATTGATGTTTCTATCTCTCTCTCCCTCTCCCTTTCTCTCTGAAACCAATCAATATATATATATTTAAAAATTGGTTAGAAAGTTGCCTTTATGAAACGCTTACACAGTTTGTAGGAGCAGGAAGAGGACGGAGTGGGAGGAAGTGGGACTAGAGGCACATTTGTCTTCATGAGTATAGACCCAGAGAAGAGGGGCCTGAAATGGAGACCTTTTTCCTTCAGACTACAACCTGGGCACTTTGCTCTACCTGACACTGAAACCACTTTCGATTTTGGAAGATTCAGTGAAGAGTCCAGTTTCCTTTTCTCATTATGACCACAGGAAGTAGGTAAATTAGGAAAAGAAAATTGTAAAACAAAACTCATTTATCCTCTTCTCAGAGTTTCCACCAAATAAAGATACAGTATACATTACAACAAACATTGCTTCTTTGGAAAACAGACAGCATGCTTAAATTACGCCTGCTTATCTGTTCTCAAAGTGCCTGAAATTATAGTTGCCGATTTATTATTTCAGTGTCTAAGGAGTCATCAAAAATAAAAAAATACTGTATTATATTAAGACTGAGGTATAAGTCTCAGAAAAGGGCCTTATAAAGCAGGACAGAGGCAGCCAAAGGAGATCAGTTCTGATGAATCGGTACCCCACGTCAGTTGTTGCTCAAATATACACTGTGACACTCATGTTCAGGTTTTTTTTTTTTATGTTTGGTTTTTTTGAGCATAATTCCTTAATTTGATTAATGGATAAAATCTTAAATGCCCATTCTTAAAGTGTTTTTTTTTTCTTTTTATTTGCACAACTCAATCTGCCTTTTTCTCATTTTCGGGTCTGCTAACTCTATTCTTTAAACGAGTCCTACTTAACTTTTTATTTCTCCAGGAATTACTTTAGTTTTGGGGAATCATTTTAGGCCAGGATTGCAGTTGAAACATTTTGTTTGTTGTTGTTTTTGTTTGTTTGTTTGTTTTTGTGAATCCTCACCTGAGGATATTTTTTCCATTGATTTTTAGAGAGAATGGAAGGAAGGGAGGGAGGGGGAAGGAGGGAGAGAGGTAGAGAGAGAGAGAGGGAGAGAGAGACATCGATGTGAGAGACACACATTGATTGGTTGCCTCCCACATGCACCCTGACCAGGGCCAGGGATTGAACCTGCAATTCAGAAACATGTCCTTGACTGGGAATCGAACCCATGACCCCCACGATCCTTTGGTGCACAGGCCGATGCCCTAACCACTGAGCACACTGACCAGGCCAAGACATTTTGCTTTTGGTTTATATGATAACATGAATAATTTTGTGACATATTGGGGTTTGGATTTCTTTTGGGAAGGCCTGTGTCATTAACCATAATAAAAATCCCCACTTGTCTTCAGTTTATTAGTCCTTTCTTGAGTTTCACAGTTGCTGACCTATGAAAGCTGGGACCATATTTTACAAGTATGCTTCACAGGGGCTGGGTTTTCAGAGACTCTTGGGGAAATCTCCCTTGTGGAGCTTGGGCCCTCTAAGCAAAAGCCACCATCCAGTGAGGCCATTTCCCTATGGTCACCCGACTGACTCCAAGTTAGCTGAAGCCTGAAGACCCTGAATTATAAATAGGATTTAAAAAATGAGAGTGTATATGTCTGTTTTTAAAAAATATATATTTATTGATTTCAGAGAGGAAGGGAGAGAGAGAGATAGAAACATCAATGATGAGAGAGAATCATTGCTCGGCTGCCTCCTGC